CGGGCGCGTAAAAAATAGAAGCTCCGTTAACACGAGGGAGGAACGACCCTCCAATGCTGCCGGCTCGTTTGCAGCGATGAGTTGGTATCCCAGTCCCTCCATGCTTCCTCCAGCCCCACGCTAGCGGGTATCTCTTACCTCCACCCCCCGGGAGTCCTGCAGAAAACCTCCTCCCTTTCTAAAACAGACTGGCAAAGGACTGCCTGACAAGAGCCCTCGGAAGGGGCGAGAATCAGCATCCCGCACAATCCTGTTTCCCGGCTCTCAGTGGCCGTGCAATCCTCGCTGCACGTGGATGCGTGCTGGGGAGGGGGGCTGCACTCCGGGCACCGAGCAAGTGGAGCGAGGGCAGCAGTGAGAGCTGAAAAATGGTATCAGGACATAACCATGCACCTCATCACAGATTAATTGGTGACTCACCCTTCCCTGCAACCCCAAAACCACAGCAGTGCTACCCTACAACAGATGGACAGAAGCGCCCGCGGCAGGGGGTACCTCACCTCGTCTTTGTCCTGCACCTGGATGAAGAGGGGAAGGGCAAAGCCCACCTGGGCCAGCTCCGGGATGGCCACGCTGTACTCCGAGCTGTTGAACTCGGGCGCGTTGTCATTAATGTCAATGACTAGGATGTTGAAGGTGGTGGTGACGGTGGCGTTGGAGGGTGTGCGGTCATCGTTCAGCTCTGTCCCCTGCCAGGAGACAAAACAACAGGGCAGCCTTCATTTTTCAAAGAATAAATGTAAAAGAAAGCGTGTGTGCCACGATTAGGGACTCCTGCAGCTTTTGCTTCCTCCACCTTGCCAAGGAAGGATGCTCAGTTCGTTCTGCCGTTGCCCCTTAACCTTGAGCACCTTTCCACACCGCTGACCCATTAAGACGTACAGATGTTGACCCAGCTCTCCCACCACCCCTGCTTCAGACCCATAGCACTCTTGCAAACCTTCCCAGGGGTTTAACATTTCCCTGGAGGGGGCTGTGGCCAAGTTCTCACTTGCCCCTATCATGCAACAGGTTGGCAGGACTTGGAGTCACGCTGGGGGATGAGTAAGCGATTTCCCTGCCACAAGCACTTAAACCAAAAAATTGCCTTGCAAGATGTGAGGGACAGTCCTCAAAACGAGGGAAGCCACAATGGAGCAAAGAGCACTCCTATTTTCTCCTCTGCCATCTCTTGAGGTGGGACCAGGAGCAGGGAGCTAACCACCATAGTACTACTAAAGGGACAGAAAACTAGGGCAATGGAGGAAAACAAGATTTAGACCTTAAAATAGGTTTGGCAACATGTGTCTAAATACAGAGCTGAGTCATGACTCCGTATCACACCTCTGTTTCAAGAAGGA